TAAATGATAGATGTCTTCCCGAAAATCTCTTGCATCTTCCCTTGTGATACAAAGTTCATCAACTGCAATAGCAGGGTGGAGTTCTTTAATAACTCTTAAATTTATTCTTTAGAGATTTCTTTGCAAAATGTTCTATTGCTCCTCCACCCCTCCCTTTGGCATAATGCCTATAGATTTTGAAGTTACTCTTTCCCCAGTCGTATAGCTCGTGTAGCCCCTGGTTCAGTGCTGGTGAAAATACTTGCAAATCTCCTTTCTTCTAGTAGCTTCATGCAGCAGCTGGGATATGACAATAAGTCCCTGATCAGTAATCCCCAGACAGCCTCTGTGGGGTATACAGAATGACCAATCATAAGCTTCGATGTCACTTTAAATGATGAAGCTCAAGAAACTCTGCAATCCCCAAGAGATAATTATCTAATTATTCCTATTTGTATTCTCCAGGAAACCGCACCAGACGGATGTATGTTTGGAACAGTGTCATTATTGTGAGGCATATATTCATATTGCAGAGAAACAAACACCAGGTTTCTAAATAAAGTATATTTGAGATTGGCCTTAATGACAGTTCAACTATTATAGTTTTAAAAATAAAAATAAAGACATAAGAAATTATCTATGTTTTGCTGGTTCTTTAGTTACATTCTGTGAAGCCACTGTCTGAAATTGTGTATTTAAAATTTTGATTTAATCAGGGTACTTCAAGATTTTTCTACAAAATGATGGCTCATTATCTCCAAAAGGAAAAATGGGGAATACTTCATGTGCTCCAGTGCAAATGTGTTTGGGGGTAAGTTCTGCTGTCAAAATTAGTCATTGCACTTGTGATACAATTCTGTAATGTTATGTATTTTTTTTAAATAGCATAGAAACTGCTGATAAAATATGTTCACCGGTTACAACATACCTCCATATTTCATCCCCATTCTTTATTCTTCTGTCAGTTTTTCCTGGCTATTCCATTTTTTTCCCCCAAGGTTAAAAAAAAAAAAATCAGGTAGGACTGCCATCATGTGAAAATAACTGAAGTGTACTTGGGAAAATGAAGCACTTCCCTTTCATAGAAGTATTATGAAGAACTAGCTTTGGAATCTAGGGTGCTGCTTCTCCCTAATCCATGGAGGATGCTATAATGGTGCCTCCAACTTCCTCCTTTCATTTTCTATCTCCAAAGTACTCCCATTGCTTTTCTCCAGGCACATGAGGTTGGCTCTCCAGTGAAGTCACCTGGGCAACAAATTTCAATCATTGCTTCAGGGATCCCACACTTGCTTCCTGCTGAAAGTCTTGGAATACACACATTGTGGGAAAGGGGCTAACTTTGTAATGTATCTTATTATATTTTGAGTTCCAGGTTTAACCAGCTGTTTATAGTTAAAATGCAAATGGTTTTTACATTTTGCTGTCCTCTTGTTTATCCAGGCAGCTAACACTGTTTGTTATAATTACCCTTTCTAAAAATCCAGTAAACAAATTTTGTTCTACAGTTGCTTTTTCCAGCAGCTTGTTAGCGTAAACAAAGAACCCGCTAAATTAATATTTGCCAAGCATGATGATTGCACACATGCCTAAAAGAGATGCATAGAGCACAATTGTCCAAATTAATCCTACTTGAGTTCATTTTCAGTAATGCTAACTTATTTGTTGCTGCAAGTGCTGTTACTTTTGGTAAATAATATTCAGAAGGGTATGATATGTTTGTACAGCATAAAAATAAAACTTGCATTTTAAAAGTGAACAAATTCATTACAGTGCAAACCACTTCCGGATGGCATTTTGTAATCAAAGGATTATGCCATAATGAATATTTTGATCTGTTGAAGTATCAAAAGATTTCTTCTTTTAGTAAAGAAATGTACTTTAAATCTAGTATGATGGAAAAATGAGTATCGTG